TTGTACAAATTTATGTTGATGATATTATTTTTGGTGCAACTAATGAATCCTTGTGCAAGTACTTTGCTGATTTAATGAGCAGTGAGTTTGAGATGAGCATGATGGGGGAACTCAACTTCTTCCTTGGGCTCCAAATTAAGCAAACTAACGAAGGAATAATGATCCATCAGCAGAAATATGTGAAGGAGTTATTAAAAAAATACAGTATGGAAAGCACAAAGATAAACCACACTCCCATGGGAACAACCACAAGGTTGGACCAAGACCCCAAGGGAACTCGTGTGGATCAAACAAAATACAGAGGTATGATTGGTTCCTTGTTATATTTAACTGCTAGCAGACCTGACATTTCGTTTAGTGTAGGTCTTTGTGCAAGATTTCAATCGGATCCAAAGGAATCGCATCTAACAGCCGTCAAAAGGATTCTACGATACTTAAAAGGGACGGAAGACTTGTGTCTGTTCTATCCAAAAAGTGACTCGTTTGACCTAAGAGGATATGCTGATGCTGACTATGCAGGAGATTTGGTAAATCGTAAAAGCACGTCAGGTATGGTCCAATTCTTAGGCTCTTGCATGGTTTCTTGGAGTTCCAAGAAACAAAACACTGTTGCTCTATCCACTGCCGAAGCAGAATATGTGGCTGCTGCTGCATGCTGCTCTCAATTGCTATGGATAAAACAACAGTTGCATGACTATGGCATTATTTTAGAGTGCGTTCCTATTCATTGTGATAACACAAGTGCCATTTGCATTTCTAAAGATCCAGTACAACACTCTAAAGTTAAGCATATACATGTAAGGCATCACTTTTTGAAAGATAATGTTGAAAAGGGCTTAATTAAGCTAGATTTTATTTCTACTGAATTTCAAATTGCTGACATTTTAACTAAGCCTTTAAGCAGAGACAAGTTTGAAAAGATGCGTGTGGAATTGGGGATGCTACGGCTCAAGTGATTTTTGTTTGGAACCCCTAAGGTAAAATCGGATGTAACTAACGATGCTATGCTCAATCTTGTGTGCATAACACAGCTGAAATTACCCAGGGGAAAGATTTGTGAAGTATTGAAAAGTCACGTATACATACTTTTAATATGTTAAAAATATTGAGCCATGTTGTTTCAAGTTCCCTTTTCATCATTTTTTACTCTCTGTATCATGATCACGTAAATTATCATCATAATTTACAATCAATTTGCTCTTATTTATCTTTTTCATTTTTTTATTTATCTGTTTTTCTTCTTGTTATTTTCTTTCTTATCTTTTATTTCTATCTTATTTTTTTTATTCTTATCTTTTTCCTTCCTTATTTTTTCATGATCAATTTTTCTATTCCTCATAAAATTCAAAAATACAAAAAGATTTTTTTCACGTAAGATAAGGAGCTAACATATTCACTACTCCTTAACTTCCGTATTTTTATCTATCTTATTATTGTGATACGTTTGAAAGATGCAATTATTACACCCTATTAAACCCATACTACCCCTATAACTACCCTACTACCTTACCATACAAACCGTCACTTTTTCTCACCCTTCCCAATTAAATTTTTTCTTTAACACTCCACCTTCACCCATCAAATCAATTAAACTCCCCATAAACTTCCATAACCGGCCTCACTCTCTCTCCTCCCTATTCACACTATTCATCTTCTCCTTCCTTTCAATTCATCCTCATAACCATGAAAACCAACCTAACCTCAACCCCGAAACAACCAAAAACCCGGAAGCCTTCCTCTGTTGGCGGCTCCCCTGAACCAGTCCCACTTGCCGTTGTTCACCCTCAAGCTTCGACAAAGAGAAAGGCTACAACCGTGAAAGGAGGTGACAGAAAGAGGCGAAGCTCTCAAACGTCTCCATCTTGGAATTACACTCACGGTTATCACATCAATTATGACTGGTGTACGGCAAGTAAGTTCTCCGAATTCATCTCCTTAATTGATTATCAAGAATGGGTGCATTTGTTCCAAAATTGTTCTCACTATCCAATTTACCCTAAGCTTTTGTTTGAATTCAAAAATACTTTCAAACACAACAATGGTGTTTGCACGGCTACGGTCAAAGATACTCACATTCATTTTGATATTGCATATTTAGGGAATTTGTTTCAAGTCCCCACCTCTGGCTATAGTTCATACCTAAAACACAAGCAAATTGTGCAAATTGGGCATTATGATGAGAATAGGGTTATTAAATTTATCGGTGGAAACCCGAAAAGCAAGACTTCACATCATAACATACTCACCCCTCTTCACAAATTATTGTTCAATTTCACATGGAGAGGCATTGTTCCTCGTTTGCAAAAACGTAGCACAGTATCCCTACTAGATGCAACCATCATCTTTTGTCTTGCTCGGAAAATAAAAATAAACTTTCCAAAATTGATGATTGAACATTTGGCTTTCTATGCAAATAAATCTACTATTCCATATGGATCTCTCCTCACTGTGTTGTTTAAGTCTTTTGGGATTGATGTTGAAAGTGAGTCACCCACTTATATTAAACCTGAGAACATTCTCTCGGAGCAATCTTTGCTTCGCCTGAGCCTTAAACTTGAGAGTGGGATACTTACTTTCTTGACGAGAGGAAGTGAGGAGAAAAATCGTGGAAAAGGGAAAACACAGGTTGTAGAGGGAGATACAAGTGAGTCAGAAGAGGAGGAAAGTGAGTCTGAAAAAGAGGAAAATAAAGAAAAAGGAGAGGAAGAAAAAGGAGAGGAAGCAATTTCTGAGGGGGAACCTCAGGAGGCAGATTCTGAGGAAGAAGAGGAGACTCAGAGTGAGGGGGAATCTAGCTCAGAAAGTGAGAGTCTCGACCTCCCTTATACAGGAGGACTAAGGCGGAGTAAGAGGAAAATTGTCAAACCTGCTACTTCTACTCTAAAGCCTGTGATCATTGAAGACATTAGCTCTTCTGATCACTCAGACCCTGATTTCACCCCTACACAAGTTCCTTTTGCCTCCGAGCCATCTCCTGTTCCTGCCTCTCCCACAAACCAAGCTAAACCCTCTTCCCCTCCTGTTTCACCAAAACAGACTTCTCCCTCTCCCTCCCCAGCTTTTCCTACATCACAGCCTACATGCTTTGCTGCCTTCTCTGGAACAAATGCTTCTGTTTTTGATATTCAACAGGTGAAAGCAGAAATGGAGAAGCTGATAAAGATGGTGTGCACAAAGCTGGAGGACATGGCAAAGCAGCTGGCTTCTCTTCAACGCCAAGTGCAGGCTGTGGCAGATGCTCAGGCAACCAGTTTTACTGGGATGGAGAACAAAGTTGATGCTGCTGAGAAGAACATACTGCACAGCACTCAGGAGATATTGGAGACGATTAACAGGGTGGCTTTTGAAGAGGTGGAGGAAGCTTCCAATGACCCCAAAACCCCAGCTGATGAACCTACTTACTCACCATAATTGCAATTTCAAACTTGTCACTTTTACTTCTTTTGTTTTTGCTTGTTCCATTCGGATTTCAGTTTGTAACTCATAACTTTTGCTGCTCTTTCCTGCTTTTGTTTTCGTCTATGGGAACTTGGCTCGTATTTTTCATATGATTGTGTGTGTTTGCTGATGATTTAGTACCTAACTTATTTTTGCCTTGCATTATTTGAGCTCACTATTCCCTACGTAGTCTAGTGGGAGTATAGCAAAATGTTTTTTTTCAATCTTTTGATAATGCCAAAAGGGGGAAAAGACAAACTTTATGGCGGCTAAAGTGTTTACCAAGGAACTCACACATCGAAGGTACAAACTTTTGCTAAGTTCAGTTTTTAAAGTCTTTGTTAATTTTTCTTTTGCTCAGTTTTTTTTTAAAAAAAAAAAAAAAAAAAAAAAAAAAAAAAAAAAAAAAAAATACTTTTTAATATTTTTCTAAGTTCTTTAATTGTTTTTTTTGTTTTCATGCCTTACTTTAAATTTTTGTTGCATGCCTGGATGATTTTATTTACCTAAGTTTGTCAATGTTTGTCATCATCAAAAAGGGGGAATTTGTTGAGCCTTTTGGTTTTGATGGACAAATTGACAAACTCGACTAATGAATGTTTTGAGTCTTTGGTGAATAAAGGATTCAAGCAAAGTTCGTTCCGGAGTAGGAACTTGGATGCGGAGTAGCATTCTCTAAAAAGCCTCGTGCAAATCTCACGTTCTAGTTTTAATTGTGAGCACTCAATATTATAAAGTCGGAAAGGAACTCAATGACTTATGTTAAAAAGACTACTGGAATAAAAGTTAGTTTTAAAAGATAATTTCTTAAAGAAAAGATAATTTGTAAAAGTTTTAATAAAGATAATTATCGAAGATAATTATCTAGTTGTTTTAATAAATAATAAATCTTTTCAAATAAAATCTTTTTAAACAAACTTTTGATAATCTTTTTAAACAAATATTTGATAAGGATAGCAAGCGGTTTTTTTGTGTGAAAATCTTTATACGGCTAATGATTATCAAGTTGATTAAGATAGTGGACTAATTAGATAAGGCTAGGAAACCTCTTCATGATTACCATCTGTCAAGATAACTCCACAAGTTGTTAGTGGGTTGTTGGCATGTGGACGTGATTATAGTGGAGGTTAATGACTAAGCCTTCTCTATAAATACTCATGCAAACTATCTCAGCAAAACATAACTCTTAAGCATAAAAATTCCAGTAGCCATCTAATAACATAAAGAGAGTTATTTTCCTTCATATATTCTTGAGTGCAATAGGTATTTGTAATCACAGATTGTATACAAGTACTTTGGGGTTGGGATTGTGAGTTTGTAAGGTGAGGTTAAGGAAGCTTCGTTGCTGAAGTCTTCTGTGAGAGTTGGGAACAAGTTCCTAATTTGGGGAACTTGTTAACGGGTTTGAATCTTCACTTGTACAGAGTTTGATTACATAGTGGAAATTTAGAAAAGCCTATATCTTCTCTCGTCATTATTTCATTTAGTTAAATTCCGCAAAAAGTTTTTAGATTTCACCTCAAATACAATTCACCCCCCCTCTTGTATTAGCCAGTTAGACTTTCACCCTGACTGTCACATCCCTGCAAACAACAAAGAAAGTTATAAAGATTATTAGAAAACTCAAAACAAAAAAAACAAAAAAAAAATAAAATTACAAGGGTGTAATGTAACAAGTAAGACCTTGGTTGTCATAAGCTTACTGGTATTGTACCCTAACTCAGATAGGGTTTTGTTCCGAGACCCCTTTGGTCGGCCTCGAGGCTTCTTTTTAATTATTGGATCTTGAATACCAACATTGTTGCTCGTGGATCCGTGACTGATATTGAATTGGGGTTAGGTCTTGCACAACCAGTGTTTGGTGTCGTTGTTGGTGGATTATGGGTGTTTGGTAGTTCAGTAGGAGTTGACATTGGTGCGGATGCATGGTGAGTAGGTGTTGAACTTGGTGTGGTGGCTGGTTGCTGAAGAACCAATTTCAGAACTTGGTAAAAGTGAGTTCTCCATCAGTTTTGCACGACGTTCTTTGACAATTTCACGAAGCTTCGAAATTGCTCCACGGACAGCCTCTACTGTATCATCATCTACTGCAGACACTTCATCACACAAAGATTCAAGATCAGGGATCAAGGCGTTGCACCGTTTGCATTCTTTGAAATGTGTGGGATCATGGTATGCAACTTTGACCCGGGTGTGCCTCCTAACCACATCTTTCCGCCACCAAGCAAGTACGTATTTTGGGGGAATATCTATGACCATATTCTGATCCCACACTCTTATGACGTGCCTGCATAGAATCATATCCTTCTCGAACTTACGGCAGTCACAACTACTATCTTTTGTAACAGGATTGAATGTCACTGAGTAAAACCTTTTTAGGTCAGTCACTTTAACTTTAGTGGTGCCACTTTTCCTAATCCAAACTCGATCTTCAATCAAGTACTGAATTGCTTCCGCACTTATAATGTCCTCCACCTTCGGAATGACGTACAACATCCGAGCACATTCTCTTTGGACTTCCTAAAATTTCGCATCAGTGTAAATTTTTTTGAAAATACCTCTCGACTTTAAATCCACTAACAAGCCGCCTTATGTATTTGCAATCCCTATCATCAGCATGAGTCTCATCACTCACCCGCTTCTTCATGGCTTGGCAATATTTTTCAGGAAATTCATGGAGTTTAGTGTGCCTATTAACAAATCCATCAAAGAACCTATTAATGGTCTCTACCCTCTACGTCGTTTTCATCCCAGCCCAAAAGTACTCTTTCATCTAAGCCGGCACCCACATGTGCCTCTCTACAAACAACCCTTGCAGCCATTCATTGTCTTCTAAATTATACAACTTCATTGCTTCACACCACCGTCTTTGGAATTCATCAATAGTGAAGCCGTCGTATATCACATTCTTCAAAAGATTCTTGAAATCGTTATACCCGAGACATGTGGCATAGAAATCCAAAGAGAGCGTGGTTAAAATAAACAAGTGAGTGGTTTATATAAGCAACAAATAAGCAACAGAACTGCAAAATTAATTTTAGAAGTTTATACTAATAATAAAAAGGAATTTACACAGACAAACTTGCTCATTTCATCTTTTCTCTATTTTTCCTTTTATGTATTATCCTGTTTATAATAGTGAGGATTCTTAGTAGACCTAATTAGGACCATGAGGCTTTTCACAAGACTCTTTCTTCCAATCATCTTGATTCTTCAAGGACTTCAATTTTCTTAAAATTGGAAAAAAGAATCTTATGAAAAAACACATGGAACTAATAAACCACAACCACTTTCATGGCAACATGAAGGATGTAACTTCAAGACAGCAGGAAGTGTGTAGATCATAAGGCAGTATAAATGGGGTAAATGGTTTTCAAAAGGTGCTTAAGAAGTGAAGATAGTATGTGCACGAGGTATACGTTAAACACTTTTAAGTATGCAGTATCTATAACTATATGCACGAGGTGCTGAAGAAGTGAAGAGAGTTCCTTGAAAAAAAGGTGCTGAAGAGAGTTGTCATAAATTAGTGTTTTTAGACTTTTTATATATTAACTAATTCAAAAGATACTCATCCCTTTTTTTTTTTTTTTTTTTTTTTTTTTTTGTAAGCCAAAAGATACTCACTTTGTTACGCCTTTAATTGGTCACAAATTGTACAAATTTATGGTTAATTACAGTTTGCTACGACACTAGCTAGTTGACAAGACATTAAATTGAATTACTCAATCATTGGACAAACTTGTGAAATTTTATGCATCTATGCTTCTGTTCTGCAACATAGGAACTTTATGAGAACAAATCTCCTCTTCAGTGTTGGTTAACCATCTATTCTCATCAACTTCCTTGTGTGTTTCTTCTTCGGCCTTCCCCTTCATCACGGTGTAGAATCCCAAAGCTATGATTATTCCTCCAATAACACTGTATGAGAAACATTTTTTTCAATGTTTAGCATTTCACTATGATATACATTGAGGTATGCCATAAGATATGCTCAAAAAGATTTACTAGTATACACGGTTGTTATTATAAGATCTACGAGTACTTCGTTTTAGACAATTATCACATGTCGGTATAAGGATCAATGAAAAACACATGTTTCCATTTGAAAGAGGTAACCAATAATTGTTACATCTTATAACCTAATATAGGACGGGAACCTCTTTTATACATGTTACACATTGAATGCCTAAGTAATAATAATTTGAAATGATTGAATTTGAAAAAATAGTGTTTGTACCTCCCAACATGAAGAACATCTCCTAGGAAAGAAACACCCAAAATAACAGCAATAATCATTTGAAGTGGCTTAAACATAGCCACAAATACTGATCCCTTAACTCTGCATGCCCAAGTATTCACGGTATTTACTATACCAACATCGAAAGCCTGGTAAAATATCAATTGTAACAAATGAACACCAATTAGTGTTAATTTTGATAATTTAATTTGGTTTTAATTAAAAAGATAATTAACATGATGATCTAGCTTTAAGTTTGAATTATTACCCCAAAGAGAATAGATATTATTTCGATATTAATGGTTGGTGTCCAAACACTTGCATCATTTTCTGCAATTAAAGTAACGATTGCTGCCACTATTGTTTCAAAGAAGCAGCTTATTAGTGTTATTAGCACCTCTGAATGGAAATCTCTTGCAATCCAAGTCTGAAAAAAAAAAAAACATTATAATTGAAAAAGGAGATATTGTTATTATTACTACAATAGTCTACTAAGTACTTTATATACGTATGACAGAAAAATTTTAAATACAAAATCATAAAATAATACAAAGTATGAGATAATCAAACAAATTTGAGACATAGGTTATACTTTGTATCACTTTCATGGATAACAAATAGACAAGTTTGAGTTAAAAATTCACGAACCTCATCTCAATAAAAGAAAAATACGGAGTACTTTTTTTTTTAACAAAATATGGAGTACTTTACTAGCTACCTTTGTTCCTTATTGTATTGTTATTAACATTTTTTTTGCACAAGATTTAAGAAAAAAAACTAGTGTGTGGTTCGGACAATGCCCCGAGTTATTATTTTATACACTTGTAATTGAATAGATAGGTTCATTCTTTATTACTTATTTATTCATTATTTGTTTATTTATAACTAGTTTAAGTCTTGTGCAATGCACGGATTTTACTTAACCTAATTATGAATTACAATGTCAATTTAACAATGTATATAGAATATACTTCGTATATAGTTGCTGAATTGAAAGTTAAATATTACTCCGTATAGGATTATAAATTAATATTCATGAAGATTTGTAATTAAAAAAAAAAAAGTAAAAGTGACGGGAATATTTTTAATCAGAACATGACAAGTGTTACGTCAGAATCGCTTTTAGTATTATGTTATTGATAGTTTTTTCATAAAACCTTTGAATAAATTATTTATGGAACAACTATTGACTAATTATATAAACATGTCCTTCTTATATAATTTATAATATAATGAAAATAAAGACATAATTATTATCAAAATAATTAAATAACTAAAAGTAATTTATAACAATAGTTAATTTTTCTTGTGTGCATTACCTCGATGAACATTATTAGCAAATAATATAATCGATTTTTGTAAGAGTTGCAGTTATTAAATGTTCAGACCTTCAATATATATATATATATATATATATATATATATATATATATATATATATATATTTATATATATATATATATATATATATATGCTTATAGTTAAAAGATGACATGGCGAGTGTTTCGGGGTTTTTTAATGTGTCCTGCGGGAGAGTTACAATTCCAAGAATGCCCTTCGACGCCTGTGCCTGCAAAATCACGAAGACTCCTGGGGGTAGGAGCTCCGCCTCCGACGATCAAGTTAGTAAAGATACGGGAGGTAGAATGCACGTAATGTTGAAGTTACTTCTCGCGTAATGGGAGAATTCCGCAATTAATATTGCTCGGGGTAGGTGTTTGTTTTTATGAGGAGTATTCAATGTAAGCAATGAATGTTTAGATGCCCATTAATGAGGGTCCTTCCACTATTTATAGTGGGGAAGGGATGGTTCCCCTTTTAGGGTTTAGAGGACACGTGTCAGCAGAGGATTGGAGCCCTGCTGACCAACGGCTGGATGCCACGTGTCACTAGGCCATTGGGCCACGCGTTTAGGGTATTTTTACCCCAAACATTTGCCCCTCACTGGTGCTGACGTGGCAGGGTGCCACGTGGCGCCGGTGAAAGGTTTTTTTTTTTTTTTTTTTTTTTTTTTTTTTTTTTTTTTACAACTCTTCAGATTCTTTTTTAAGGATGGAAAAGCAGAAGGCGAAGAGTCACGACTCTTCACCTTCTGGGACAAATCCTATAAATAGGAGAAGATGTCCCCCGAGCTCTCATTTACAAACTTTGCCAAATTTCTGAAAATTTGAGAGCAGCCGGCAATTCGAGAGTTGAGAGCATTCGGAGTTGAGATTCGTTGAGAGCAACCGGTCTGCAGACCGTCTGGGTCGTTGCAAGCTAGCTAAAGGTTTTCGAGAGGGTAATCAGAGAAACCCAGCCGGATTTTGAACCGCCTGCGTCTTCGCAAGCATCCCAAAGAATTTCCAGATTTTCTTCTAGGTACCGTCTCTATTCTTTCTAGCTTTTTCATGTATTTCCGTTTGAGTCTTTTACTCGCATTTTTGTTCATTGGTCCCATAAGTAGATGGACCCCTTATACCCATACCCGGAACCTAGCTGTGAACTCAGCCGGTTTATTAGTACGGCTGAGTCTAGAACTGGGTCTGCCGCCTCTGTTCTTTGGGACAACCCTTTTTCAACACCCATATCGACCGACTCTGTGTCTGTGCAGGACACAATGGCCAGAATCCGGTCTACTGCCAGAGATCCCAACTATAGAAGTGGGAGCTCAGATGAGCAGCCGCCTGAGGTCCCAGCTTCAGGCGGTGAAGTAGAGCAAGGAGAGGTAGAGCAGAGAGGCTCACCCGGGGGCACTCCTAGCACCCCGGGTGATAGCATTTTAAACGAAGAGACTGCTCCCCTCCAGGAGACCAGAGAGCAGGTAGGCTCTGATAAGGAGGTCTCCAACTCCCCAGCCGGCTCTGATGCCGGTCACGTTCAAAGTAGCAGTAGCAGCTACTTAACCGAATCTGAGGATAGCGAGGAGGCGGAGAGGCCTTCTTGGGATAATAGGAACGATCCTCTCATGATCGCCGTCTCCTCTAAGGACCGCGAGCTCATGCGGGCTGCGCTGCCAGATTTTATCAAACGGCGGCCGCTGGGGGGTGACTATACAATAAAAATCCCGGCTGCTCTGGGAACAATATGGTGGGAGGATGGACAACCGAACGCGAACGCTTGGTTCGGGTGCTACGAGGCGGCCTTCTTGGCCGGAGTCCGCTTCCCTCTCCACGACACAATAAAAGTCATACTTAGGGGGTATGGCCTGGTTCTCTGGCAATTAACCCCCAACTCATGGGTAAATATTTTAGGGTATATCGCCGCCTGCGAGATGCAGGGCCTCAACCCCGGCTGGGAGGCGTTTGCCCACATGCATTACTTGAGTAGGAGCCTAGGCGGCTGGAGAGCCTGGTATACCTTGACCACCCAGCCCAAATACCTTATGACCTTGGACAAGCCATCCAAATGGTCGGACTGGAAGCACCGGTTCTACTTGGTTAAGGCCCCAACTACGGCAGAGAACAGAGAATTCCGGATCTACAACCGGAAACCAGAACTCTTGGGGACCAAGTGCTGCCTGCCCCCTGTCCCGGAGGATGATAGAGAGACCATCCTTGACTCCGGGTTTTTTGAGTTAGTTCCTGACACCCTCTCATCCGGAGAGATAGTAAGGGTACCTAGAAACTGGGTGCCCAAACATGAATTTTTTAGGGACGAATGCTTCTTGTCCGCTTGTGGTCTAAGCAGCATGTTTAAAAAACGTATGTATTCGGAACTCAGCCGGTTTCTTTCGAACCGGATGCTTTTATTTCCTTGCTTGTTTATTATTCTAACCGTGTGCCTTCCTCTGCAGAAGAAGCCAAGAAAATGCTGCCCACCAAGAAGACACCGGCTAGGTCGGCTGCCGACATCCGGAAAGCCAATCTCGAGAAAAAACTTGCTGCCCAGGCGGCGAGGAAGGTATAACCGTCTGATCCTTCTCGTTTATTTCAATCCTTTTATCCCAGGACTTATATTTTTCTCGTTTACAGGACAGGAAGTAGATGCCCCGGTCCCTTCAAAAACAGGTCAGGCCTCCGCCGACCCAACAAGAGTCTGCATCCAAGGTGCAGAAGACAGCCGACCGGCAAACTACCGGCGGCAAATCAATAAAGGTCCCAAGCGGGCCTGGATCTGCGGATGTGCTTTCTGCCATCCCATTGAGGACCGCAACCGGTCCCTCTGAAGGCCGTTCGGGCCGCCAAGGTAACTTCGACCTTACACTGCTTGACCTGCCCATGCGGGTCAAGTCTTATTCACAGTCTCGATCGCAGCCGGGGGATTCTCCAATCAGCCGGCAATCTATAGGCAGAGCATATGCGAGTTTCTCACCGTCTGTTTCTGGTGCAGATAATTCTCCCCGCTGGCCGGACGGGGCACAATATGCCCGGGCCATGCTGAAAGCCGTCCCCAGGGACGAGAAGGAGGCGATCCCTGGGATCAACTCCTTTAATGCCGACCGGGTGCTGGTCGACCTGGCCGATGTATGCTCCAACAACCATGCGGTAATTTTCTTGACGTGCATTTTTAAATATGCAGTATTAACCGGCTGTATTTTTGCAGGCTATGCTGCGCGTAGAGGGGCTCAAACGAGCTTATACCCGCAAGTCTGAAGAGGTAAGGAGAAGCAAACGGGCTGTTGATGACGCCCATAATGTTGCTGACTACTCTTTGTACATGCATGGCTTAGAATCTAAATCTATACGCATGGAACAGGCGGAGAAGACCAAGGCCCTCCAACAGCAGATTGATCAACTGAAAAACCAAGTTGACCAACTGCAGGCGTCCCTGGATGATGCCAATAAAAAGTTGGAGGAACAGAAAGAGCCCCTCCAACGGCTGAGCAAGGCGGAGACTGAAAATGGCCGCCTCGCCAAAGAGAATGAGCGCCTGCGCAAAGAGGCGGCTGCTGCCAATGAGAACTTCAAGGCCACCTTGGAGGCGGAGCAGGACAGGCTCATTGAGGAGAATGAGCTTGATTGTGCAAACCGGATGCGACGGGCGTTTTCCCTCATCCACCCGGAGACGGACTTCACCGTCTGGGAACTCGCCTTCAAATATTCTGATCTTGCTATTCTGGCCGAGGAGGCGAATGAGCCGGGACCCGGACCCTATGACGCTTGGGTTGGGGAGGAGATTGCGCGAAGGCAGGCGGAGGCTGCTGAAGAGGAAGTTGTTCCTGAAGCCGACGCAGCCGCTCACCCTGATCCAACCCAGGACCAACCGGAAGAGGACCGGTTCACTGTTCGCCTGGAGTAGCAACTACCTCCCGGCCTGCGCGCCTTGCATTATCTTGTAATAGCGCCGGATGAGATGGGCTAAGCTGTAATAATTTTTATTTTGAATATTAACATTTTCACCGGCTGAGCTGGCTTTTGAATGCACTCTGTTTTTCACACTTGGCTTTTGAATGCTTTTTATGTTTCTGCACTTCAATACTAGAATTCTTGTTATTTTTTTATACAT